CGTTTTTCAATTTAGGGGGGGGGGGGATGACAAACAACGGGTTTTTTTATTCCCCTTGGGAGTTTTCATTGGGACAGGGGGTTACTCCGGTGGGTCCCCGTTATGAAGGACTTCCCAAGTAAAATACCCCCCCAGGATTTTTGATTCAGGAGTGTAGAGCCATTATGTTTTTGTGGGGGGGGGGAGTTGGTTCATTCATTTTTTTTTTTGGGGGGGGGGGGGGGGGTGGAGGAATTCTGAACCGTAGGTGATGATCTACTCAGCGACACTTGCTTCACTTCTTCGCGTGTTCAGCTCCCCCGGCAGTTCGCACTATTATTATATTAACGAATGAATGAAGTACAACAGCAGTATCGCTCCATGTGACACTACCAAATGTGTTTTTTTTTTTTGTCTTTTCCTGGTTTTTCACAAAAATGTTTTTCACCGTGCACCAGTGCAACACAGACTCGTGGGCAGCGTGTGGGGATGACTACCTCCAAGTACTGTTTGCAGCCAGTCATACAGAGACCCATTTGGTCGCGCCCCTATGCATACGTATGCATATGCTGGTCACTCGCCGCCGAACAGAAAAAGAACCGCCCACGCGCCTGCCTACTGCCTACAACACGCAGTAGTGGTGGGTGACACAAGATACCACACCCCCTGAATCGATTTTCAAAGCTCGAGGACGCATAAACGACACGGTTCGTTTCCGGAAAGCTCTCGGCGAGACGGCTCCAACCCCGCCTTTTTTTCAGCACTGTCAAAATTTCTACTGCTGCTGTGGACAAACCGAGCTTTGAAAATCGGTTCCAGAGGGTGTGGTATCTTGTGTCATGTCATGTCACCTACGGCACGCGGCCGAGCGAGTGCCGAGAGCGCTCATACAAAGCTTCTTTTTTTTTACGTTGAGTTTCGCCGCTCTTCAGATTTCATCAGGCAATCAGGCGGCGCGTGTGTGGGGTATACCGGGAATATATCTACCGGTGTGTGTGCAGAGCTACTGTGTTCGCACGCACCAAGGACGCACCCGCCATGGCTTCGAGAGGAGTGCTGCTGGCATTGCTGCCCGCTGCTTGCTTTGGCTTTGCTCCCGCGGTGACGACAAGGGTGGGAGGATGTAGTGGTGGCATGTCAGCAACGAGCGCACCAACCGGCTTCGCAGGGTGAGTAAGCGGAAGCGTAATACACACTCCAGGACACGCCTGGCAACGGCCTGTAGCCGGCCGTAGCTGCAAGAGGCCTCGTCACTATCGTAGGGATGTTGTCTCTCGATCTCAGATCATGGTCAGGTCGAAGGTTTCGGGAGCAACAGAGGTGACATGCGGATGATGTCGATCATGAACGCGCCGTTGGTCAGCTCGTATGCTCGTATGCTACCAGGCTCCCCCATCCTGGACGTACGCAAGCCCGCCTGGTTTTGGGGCTGAGTTGAGTGTCCACTGCAACACGCACAGCAAGCAGCTGGGCTTCTCTGCCACCACGAACACCTCGCCAGTCGGTGTTGTGTTACATGTCGCTGACACATCAAGGGCAGAGGGCTCACCTGTGTACAACCAACTGCGGTCTGTAGGTACATTATGTAGATAGCATATCAACGCCTCTTCACCCTGATGTCCGACATACTATAGACTACATTGTATTCCATACCTGTGAAGCAGTTGTAGCTGGGTGTCCACAGCAGTCTATCGTTGGAGACAGGCCTTATCTCACAGACAGCGGCGGTTAACATCATAGCACTGTAGTCATGACACACACACACACATATGCGTCTCCTAAGGGTGCATGGGCGATACAGAAGGCGTGACACGCAACAAGCAGGCCTGGCTCAGCTGCTCGCTACAAAAGCTTACATACGTAAACCATGCATGCCAAAAACATAATAGCAGTGAGGGAAGCAGGGAAGGGGCAACATGTTTCTCCGGACAGACAGAACAGCATGAGTACCTGTAACTGGGTGTGTATCTAACTTGCCACATTTTTCAAGGCATCCAGGTCCCTACGTCGTCAATATCCCCGTTTGTAGGTTATTGATCGGTCTGTTTGACCCAAACCTCCCAATAGCAGTTCACCTCCAGCACACCGTGGTAGCACACGATGAAATCATGGATCGCTCTGCTCGCGTCTCTATGCCGCACAAGGTCGGCGGTGCAAGCGTTGGCGCGTTCTCGCACAACGAGACGCAGCGAGGGGCGTGGGTTGCGTATGGCCGGCGATGGGCCAAGCGTGCTGGAGGAGCAGCCTGTATCGGCAGACGAGGCAATCGCTTTGATCGACAAGGCCAAGACCATCGTAGAAGCTGACATGGGCGTGAAGGTGCGTGGTCTCCGTCATGTTACCCTTACGGCGGGGCAACGGGGGTGCTTTTACCAGGATGTCTCTCTCTGTGCGGCAGTATCATACGGCATGCTGTTGGCGTATGGCCGCGTACTAACCGTCGCTGGCGCGTAGCATGGTATAATGCTTCTCTGGCGGCAGCGCGGCTGGTTTGCTACATACATCGGACAACAAAAATGTGGCAACCGTCCATGTTGTCCGTGAAGCTTGTGACGACCACAGCCATCGCCATATAAGCCCTAGCAACGCAAGCTACAGGCTGCGCGCGACGTGCAATCGGTGCCCTGCAACCTGCATGTACGTACATTTACTGCTCAAAAGCAATAGCACCCACTATTAATACTATATTAGTGTACTTGCGCCAATGCCAACGTCTGCCAACACCCTCGTACATGCCCACGAGTTTCCAGGAACACCGTGCACCCCGCACGGTGTCCATCACAATGCGCATCGTGGTCTGGAATTTTCTGATGGCACTTGGTCTTCGATTTCTAGCAAGGTGTGGCCTACGGAAGGCTTCGGCGTCAGTCGGACCAGTACTAGACTATACGGATATTTAGAACGTACTAAGCGGGGACCGGAACGGTTTTTTAATGTCAATGCAACAACCACAACAACAACTTGGTACCAAACAGGTGGCGGATATGCTCGGGCCGGACTTTCGGTTCTTGTGGCAATTTAACGGGGACATGGCCAGGGCCGACTACCTGACGGAAGGAACGGGACCGTACGCTACCTTGAGGACGGCTTTGCCCGACCTCTTCTGGAACTCGTACGATTACAGGGTGAGGGGTTGCGCCGCCGTTAAGTTGCTACTCGTAGTGGCGGTGAAACGGCACCGTACTCAGTACCCAATGCCAGCAAGGTGTTGAATGCCGTTGTGCAACGTTATTAATAGTAGTACGGGTGAAAATCCGTCCTCACGAACAACCCGACTGACTATCAACGTGGAGTGAAGTGAACTGTAGTATTCCCACTGCATTGTTGTGACGTCGTCAGTCGTGTGTGTTGCGACACGTTCCTTCGATGTCGCCCTTGCTTGGGCCCTGTACAAGCGTCAGCGTAGGCAAAAGAATTGGCATTACACCGACCCACCCCCATGTTGTGTTGTGTTGTGATGTCGAAGGCTACTCTTATGCATATGCATACAACAGTGTGATAACACCAATCCGCATTGCCTGAGCCCAGTCACGACCTGTTTTTTCTCGACGCTGTTCACTCGTTCTGCAACACGCAGCGTATGTTGCACGTCGGGATACACCTCGTATCCACCCCTTCCGCTCCACATGCTGTCTATCCTGTTGACGTCATTGCGTGACGTATGATACATGATAGGTGGACAAGTACAACCGCAACCGTGTTTGGGCGACGACCCGACTCACGGGGACTCACAACGGACCCCTGGTCTTCGACGGGAAGGTAATACTAGTAATACTGCGGTAGCATGCATGCAGCATGCGTGCATACAAGTGACAGCAATTGGTTGATTGAGATGGACGCCCGAAGGCCAACTGCATGGGGACTTGGGGGTGCGGTGGTGTTTGTTGAGACCATGGATTCTCGCGCGTTCGTCAATGCGTCCTCTCGTGTAGCGCGCTCTGTCGCCAATACAGGCACCGTCGATCACTGCTGGTCACAAAATACTCGTGCCAAAAGTCCTAAAAAATAGTCGTTTGCCGTTGTCTGGTTCTGCCACGCCGTTTGCCATGCCCTTGTGCCAAGGCAAAGGCCTGGGCTGTGGGAAAGGTACGCCTTCCACTCCGGTTGTCCGTTTCGACTACTGACTAGTGACGCAGTACATGTGGCGATGACGGGCGAGACCGTGCCATCGATCATGATCGGGAATAAAGCAGCGCGTGCCCCCTGTTTCGTGACATCACAGTCTAGACTTGAAATTATCAAATGCCACCGATGCCCCCACACGCACGCATGTATAATCAACCACATGTGGCGTCACGATAATAATCGATCACATGCATGTGACGTCACCAGGAGTACCCCCCCAGTGGCATCCGCGTGGAGGCGGCGCCGGAGTGCGTATCGGTGACTTTCGACGAGAAGTCGGGCCTAGCCACCAAGATCACGGGAGGGTTCTGCATCGACAGGGGGGTCGGGAACACGGGGCCGGCGGGAGGGATCTGGGGAGTTTTGCAGGCAAGAAGAGCCACAGGCTGCTGATGTTTGCTTTTTTTTTGTTTTTCCACCACAAGTGGTCGTTTTCGATACGACGGCGACCTGGTTGCACCCAAGTTTGAGACAGCGAGGGGACTGAATTTGCTAAAATCTGTTCTGTTTTTGTATCTCTGGGTTTTTTGCATTGCCAAATCAGCTGTGGGCAGCGTTGGTGTCGTCCTTTTGCCCTCGCCGGTAGGAGGCCCCATGCAACATGCCAACCCTGGAGACCCTGGAACCCCGGAAGTCCTGCCAAAAGAAAAACATGAACGAAACGACCAAAATAAAGTTCTGACGAGTAAGTCTTGGGCGTTCGCCCGGACGCAACTGATAGCTTGTGTGTAGATATAGTATTCGACTTGATCTACACATCATACACTTAATATTCAACGCGTTGCAAGTATGATGGTATGATGACATGGTATATCGAATGTTGAACCACAGGCTTGATCGTGTCGCTTGCAATGTTTTTGCACCTCAAGCAGAGACGTCTACTATGGATTGCATCTGATCTGTCTGTGTTTATCTGGATTCCCATGCTTCTGTACAGTCGTCCAGTGTCGCGTTTATATATGGAGGCGTTCAAGAGTTGCGAAGTAGACCCCAAACCAATGCTTTACGTATGTATGTACTTTCTCTGTCTCATACGTGTGTAGCGTTATGTGTGCACGACCACTTAACCGTGTCCGATGCCTTCGGCGATGGTTTTTTCGAAATCTTGAGCGTTTTTTGGGTTTAAAAGCCTTTACCAGGTATTTATTGATTTTTTTCGCGCATTTCCTTGCATGGGCCAACGACCGGGAAAATATCAGTCGGCCCAATAATGGCCGTACTTTGCCCCGTTTCGGCGAGGGTACATTGACAACAAACACAACACACACAATTCTCAAGAAACATCCACAAATCGGGGATATTTCGGCTTGATTTTTGAATTGAAAAAACTTGTTTTTTTCTGGTTCGTTGTCGGTAGAGCATCCTCTGCACCTTTTCTTGCAACGAACCCAAGTTCATAACCATCGCCATCGCCACTACCGTTTCACCTCCAAAACTTCTCGCCAATATCGCTACAGACTTATGGGACAGAGGAAGTATGTGGTAGTTGTTTTAATGTTTAGATGCTTCGTTTGACGTTGCCTGGTTCTTCAATGTTTCCGATGCCCCCGACTTGTACAAGTACTTATTTTGCAAACGCTTCTTGTATGTATCAATTCCTTGTTTCCCACGGGGGTATCAGACTCCTTCACGTTGTCCATTTCACAACTCGAGGCGATTTGTGCAGTCGTACAACCATTTGTTGATTCTTGTCAGTCACATCGCATGATGCGTTCATTCCCATCTCAGTACAAGTGTATTCGAGTGCCGGGAGAAAGACATGCGTCCACGGCCTAAAAGGCGTGTTTCTCTTCTCAAGGGAGTAGTTCACGCGGCATTTCTCTTCGGGCCACAGTTCGACATTCCCAAACATTACCAGTTATCGGAGCATGTGTTAAGAGTTAAGAGGGGCATCTTGACAACGTTAACATTAACATTGTTTGTCAGCGGGTTAGGGAAATTGTCACCTTTCGAGCGTTGCTGGAGGTCGCGGGAGCTTCAGATGCTTCTCGGAGTGTTCTTGGAGCGGGATTATTTGCAAATATCGTAGATCACAAAAACCTAGCCTGCTGCTGTATCCAGCGTACACAACGGAATATCTTGTGGATCGATCCATCGCATGACCCATGAAACGATCGACAAATGCCTAGCCTACTGATGCATCCAACGCAAATAACAAAATACCTCGTGGGTCTTCGATCAATGACATGATCCATGACATGACACTGCTGTATGACATGACATGACATGGCATGACATGACAGGCAATCGGAGAGCCAGTGTCGGCGTGGAAGTACTTCCCCCCCGTCAAGGTGCTTGTTGACGTGCTGGGCCCCACCTTCCGCCCTAAGGGCAGCCAGGGCAAGGCCAAGGCGCCCTACAGAGACTCTGTCGCCATCGCCCTCGCCAAGCAGGTATGGGATGGGATGGGATGGGATGGAGGTATGGTATGGTGTAGTATGGCTTAGTATGGTATGGTATGACGGTATGGCACGTGGTATGGTATTGAATGGTATGGTATTGGGTGGTACAGCAAACAGCGTGCCTGTTTTGTTTTTGGCACCCCGTGCTCTTGTAAGCCATAATGGTGGTCGAGTAGATTATGTTGTGCGGGGTCGAGAACCTTCACTTCACGCCTCGCAAGGGGGTTGATCGCAACACGTTGTGTTAAGTTGCTCAAGCGCCCTCGAGGCAGTTACGCAGTGCTCATGACGGCCTCTGGAAGCGAAAGCACCAGAAAATATATAAAGTCATGCGCAGCTGTCATCCGTATGCAAGGAAGTAGGCACAAGATGCCGAACACCCTTAGCATAATGCAGCGCACCTTCCATGCGACTCGCCGAATGCCTCACGGCGCTTCGCGCTTGGTGATATGAGAGCCTGGTCCGGCGAAAACCCGGCTTATCGATCCGTCCTGGCATTCGCAGGGACGCGAGGTCAATGGTCTAACAACTACGGCATGCGTTTACATGAGAAATACACCCCCCCTACCGTGCTTCTCTCTGCTGCGATGGCTTGGTTTTGGTGTTACGAAGTCTGCATACCACACCTAAGAAAAAATGGGGTATTAGTAGTGTTTTCTTAGGGAGGACGAGGACGGCAGTTTTGATCATAATTCTGTTTCTGCGTGTGTGTTTTTCGTGGCGCGTCAATCGTATGCATACACAACTCGAGAGTAGTTAGATGCCCCGAAAAGGCCTTAAACAGTTCGGCCACTATTCTTAGCTGAAGGCCGTCTCAGCAACCTACATGTGTGTTACTGGTGCACAACCTCGCTCTGCCGTTGGTCGTGTTTGTTCATCCCGTGCCTCCTGCCCAACGCTTGTCAGCATCTCACTGCTGATGCTTTCTTCTCCTCTTCTACGACGCCAAGAATCTACGCTGATGCAGGATGACATCTTTTGATGTTGGTATGGTGTTGTAACGATAACTGACGCTACAATCTGCTGTACCCACCGATTGATGTGATTGGATGGCACGATGGCAGGTGCTGACGGCATTGAGGGACGACACTGGTGCGTTGGCCGATCTTCTAGCGGACGATTGCATGATATACGCGCCCATTCTCGGCCCCCTCAAGAAAAAAGAGGTGACTCACTCATCATGACACGTGACACTCATCATGACACTCATCATTGGATCATCGAGTTAACCTGATGGCTTGTATGCAGATGCGTACCACGCTGCTGTTTTGGCGTTGTTGCGGTGGGTGTTGTTTTTGATGGTGTTGTCGGTGTCGCTTTTGTTAGCGTTTGTCCAGATGCCGCTGCCTGGAAAAACGGTGCCCCTGTCGTTTCTTGACGCCGTGCATGCATGAGGAGTCCCTTCCCAAGCCTGAAGGAACGCGATATGAAAAAAAAAAACGAGCTTGGGACTAGCAACGCCGACGATGTTCGTCGGGGTGCTTTAACGATGGTGTTGCAGTATTGGTGTTGGTGTTCATGGTGCTGTCTTGCGTTGTTGCTGTTTGTTGCTGTTTGTTGGAGGAGTTGGTGTTGCCGTGCCCCAGCTGAGCTTTCGGTTGTCCCCAGGCATTCTACAGTGGCCGTGCAAGCACTATGTGGCCTATTGCGCGTACCCCCCTCGCCTCATCTCGCCTTAACTTTCTTCCTTCCTTCCCATGCCATCCCAACACCGCACTACCTTATCCACTGTACCACGCCACAGATCGTGCAGAGCGCGACCGTAGATCTCGTAGATTTCTTCTCGGGGCTGGACACGGATGACAACTACCACGACGCCAGGGTGGACCCTTTCGAGCCGTCAAGGGTGTGGATCACTACGATACCGACTACAAAGGTGGTGGGGGCTACGACGTGCTTCGGGACTAAGGTAAGGGAACGGTGCGGTGAAGGCCATCGTGTCGTGTCGTGCTTTTCGAGTGTGCGGTGCGAGGTGTTTCGTGTGGTGCTTTTCGAGTCGACACATAGCAGCGGCTGTGTGCTGTCGTTCGTTGCGAAGGTGTACGGTAGACGCGAACGTATATATTTCTCGTGCTTCGACGCCAAGGTCAGGTCAGGAAGGAAGTCGTCTCAGCATACAATATGCGTAGCTGTTTCGCATGTTCAACAGCTTCATTTCTCGTCTTCGTTTTCAAGCTCCCTCTCTGTTCTCCTCTCCTCTCTCTCCTCGCTTGTGCTTGATGTTGGTGTTGGGGGTTGGGGTGCGTGCGGCTCTTGTCTCGCCTTAGTCTTTCCTTCTTCGCGCCGGAGACGTGTTTCGTTTCCTCGTACCGTCTATACGCATTTCTGATTCACTGATACAGAATTGATACAAACTAATACAACAACTGACCCAGCTATGCATGCCTCTTGTCTTTGTCTTGGGACGTGACATGACCTGACGCGACGTGATGTGATGTGCGGCAGTTTGAGCCGAAGAGGCAGTCGTTCGTGAGCACGCCCCAGACCTTTTCCGTTACCTTCGACAGCGATGGCTTCGCCTCCAAGATTACGGTGAGAAATTAGGACGTGTACTTCCTACGGTAAGTACTGTACTGCTTTAACGCCATGTACATGGTGTAGAGGATGCGCGTGCCGGTATCGCGGCGAAGGTGGTCGTCTCGTGTACATGTTGTAGTGTACAAGGACAACGGTAGTTTATTTGCAAAGGTGTCATGTGAGAGAGGTTCATGAACATTCTCAACTCGGTTTCTTTTGTTAGGTGTTGCTTGTTTTGTCCGATTTTGCGGCAGCATGTGCCAAAATGCCTGCTCGATCAATGTGCCGTTGTCATTACCATCAAACTGGCAAAGTTTCATGATTGTGACTTATGATCGGCATGTTGCCCTCGAGCCGAGCTCTGAGACACACGTGTGTTGTGTCGTCATATTTTCGTATCGAATCGATCGGTGTACAGTGGAGACAGACATCACTGCAGCATGCGCTCCCCTGCGATGGATAAGAATGAGATGACCTCGGAATCAGGAACACAGATGGATAGATGGGTGTGACATGATTGTGTTGGATTAAAATGATCTAGACGAGTCGAGAGAAAAGCTACGGTACGTCGGAGAACGACAGCTAGGCTAGAAGACGCGAACGACTTTAACCGAAGGAAGAGATAGTCGCTACACCCAAGTCGGAGAATGAAATGATGACCGCTATGCTGGAAAATACGCAGCAGTCACGATTTGATTTTTTCCAAGAGGATAAGGCAAGCTTTTTCTTCTCATGTTAGATGTGGTATGCATGGAGACGTTGCAAGAGCGCCCGATCAGAGGTACACAGTGTCTCCGTGTGGACCAAATTATGTTGCGTATTGAACGGTCAAGCGGCACCCCCCCTCGACCCTTTCCCCCCCACACACAGCTTGGCTGCCCAATGGATACCGAAGTCGGCGACACGGAAGGGCTGACGAACTTCCAGGGTATTCTGGCAGGACTAGGCATCCCTCTCCCCGACCCGTTTGGCCGCCCGGCCCCCGATTCGTTCAGAAGGGTCTTGTCTTCCGTGTTCCCCAAGAAAAAGCCAGCACCGCCTGCCGTGAAGAAGTCCAAGCCCGCCAAGCCCGCCGCTGCTAAGCCTGCCGCCCCCGTCAAGAAGCCCGCACCGCCTGCTTCGAAGACTGGTGCGAAGAAGGCTGCACCGGCGAGGCCTGTCGCTAAGCCCGGCATGCTGAAAATGCCTACCGCCATGCCTGCGAAGAAGACCGCGTCGCCTGCGAAGAAGAAGCCGGTTCCGGCTAAGCCCGCCGCGAAAAAGCCTGCCATGCTGAAGAAACCCGCCATGCCGCCCGCCAAGAAACCCGCCCCGGCGGCCGCCAAGTCTGCCGCACAAAAGCCCGCCGCCGCACCAAAGGCGAAGCCTGCCACGCCGCCAAAGAAAGCGGCGGCACCTGCGGCGGTGGCCGCTAGCAAGGCGCCGGCAGCGGCGAAGGGCGGCGGCGGGTCATCATTCGGAGGGATGTTCAACTTCGGCGGCGGCGGCGGGTCGGGGGGGGGGGGCGCAGGAGGCGCTAAGACAGAGGCGGTAGCGACGAAGGCGAAGAAGGAGGCGCCCAAGCCGGCGGCGCCTAAGAAGGTGGCTGCTCCCAAGAAGGCGGCTGCCCCGAAAAAGGCGGCCGCTCCCCAAAAGGCGGCGGGTCCCGCGAAGCAGGTGCGTCTTCGTCATCTTGTCTTCCTCCACTTGTGCTGCTGGTGTACTTTACTTTATATACCGTACACCACGATGCCATCGTACCATACATGTAAAGCTGCTGCAGCGTTTGTTGCTTTGGCTAGATGCGATGGCGGTGTTTTGGATGATGTCCGTCGTGGTGGCCGTCTCCGGCTCTTTTGTGTACTTGCCAACCATGGCATCGTGTTACAGTAGTAGCGTTTCACAACTCGCACCAACCGTCGAGTGTTGTTGTGTCTCCGCGTAGTACAGTTTGCCACCGGCTGATATCGGAGGCGTAGAAGATGCGGTACAGGCACTCATTCGTTCGGCGGTGTGTTCTTGTGTGATGTGATACATGCACATGCACATGTACATCTGGTGTGTGTGGTCGAGGATGAAGCACTTGTTTACGAGGAGAAAGTTCTCGTTTGTTTGTTTCTGTCTTGTGCCTGAGTTTCTTGGGGGCCATTTGTCTGCTTGGCGGCACCGCAATATTGTAGCTAGCCGTGTTTTGGTGGCGCTGCGTTCGCCGGATTTTCTCGATGGGTACGGGGCGTGGATGGTATCGTTGGACCTTGTGCCGAACGTATCGCTGGTTACTTTACGCTTGGTTGTCTTACGTGCCTTCGTGATTCGTGATGTTGACACTTACACTTCGCGAAAAGAGGACAAGTAGCGTGGCTCCGACTGCTGCATCGTGCAATTCGTTTCCTTGAACAAGCGTGCCGATTGAGATGATTGGTATTTTTTTTCTGAAGGAAGCATGCAGAAATTTGGAGATCCGACTACCTGCGTTACTCCAGGACTTGTCCCTTTTCGATGGTTGTGTTCCCAACAACTCTCTCCTCTCTCTCTCTGTGTGTCTCTGTCTCTGTTTGTCTTTGCCTCTCTGCCTCTTTGTCTGTCTCTTTACCCCTCTCACGCACACGGATCTATCGTATCGTATCGTATCTATCGGCACACAGGCAAAACCGGCTCCGGCCGCTGCGAAAGCGACGGGGAGCGTGACCTTCTCCCCTGTCTTGGCACAGAAGCTCGAGGAGGCGTTGGGCTCTGCCTCCAAGGTAGATCAGCTCTCCAAACGGACAGAACTCTTCGCCAGGGGCGGTATCTCCGCAATGGACTACTGGTCCACACTCAAGAATGTAAGTGCCCGGCCCATGGTTGTGTTTGTCTCTCTTAAGCGGGAGGTGAAGTGGCAGGGGATGTCATGATGATGTAACCGCCGTTGACACAAGTCCCTACATGGGACGATTGGGGCCATCGCCACCCTCCCCAGGGGGAAGAATCCATGGAAATATCCCCCATGTTTTGTTGTTGTGGTATGGTTGGGCGGACCTCGATGAAAGCATAAACATGTTGTATCTTGCGTCACGCGCAGGGCACACGGTACGTTGCTTTTCGTTTTGATGCTCACTCTAACGTCGATGTTTCTTGCGTTCGACTTCTCTGACACCTTCGGTGTGGTGTGGCGTGGCATGGTATGGCGATTTTTCTCTGTCTTGGAGGCACAGTAGTACTCTGCTATAGTCACCTGCTATAGTCACCTGCAAGCCTTTTACCGTCGGGTGAAAACATCGTGGTCTTGTCTTCAATTTTTTGGTAAACATATTTTGCCCGCCGTCATGTCCTCAGAAAGACCGCGCGCACGCCGTGTTTGTGGGTCTTCTAAACCTAAAGGCAATTTGAAGGCTACATACACGATTATTATTTAAAGCATTGATTGGTTTACTCGTCGTTCAAGCCAAAGGTCCCCACAAAGGGCTTGGCTAGACAGACCGCCCTGCCTGCAGCCTGACCTTAACCACAAACACACCAGAGCTCGTTCGTAGCGAGGCTTTTGAACTAATTCGAGTGAACCAACCCCCTTTGCCTTTGTCGTTGCCGCTCACTGACCTCATTGGTTGGAAACCTTACATGTTCGTCTCTTGTGGATGCAGACGCTTGGTCCTGACGGAGTGCAGAACCTCGGGCCAGACATAATCGGTGCGCTGCCGTCGGGTAACCAGAAGAGCGCCATCTTTAAGCTCTACTCCACTAGCTAAGGTTGTGTGGCCAAGATGCGATGGTCGTGTGTTCGGGTAGACGTTCGCCCCGTGCTGCTAGAGTAGATACTGCTGTCAGTTGATCTGATGGGCAGGGTTGTGCGGCAACCGCCATACTTGGCAGAAAAGGGGGGGGGGGCGCAGCGGGCGAGAGCACCGCCCCAGTACGTACGTACGTGGCTGGTGGCTCCTGTTGTACCCGCCGCCATGCTATTTTCTCTTTCGATGCTTTGACACGAAGAAGAGCCCATTCTCAGACAGACGGGAATGGACGCAGCGGGAGGGGTTTCATGGAGTCCACGAACGCACGGCGCTTGGATCTAACCCGTCGACTATTCTAGCACTAGTTTTGTCTAGGTGGCTGCCTGCGTAGACATACATGTATCATAAGTCATGGTAAAAATGGCAGTCTATTGTTGTAAACTTCACAATTTGAAACTGCTCTGTCGAGTGATTGCACAGAGACGCCACACGAGTTTACCGCTGTAGTTCATATATCGACGAATCGTGAACCGATCGTTTCGTCTGCATGGCTGAGGGTATGGTACTGTATTTACCAGAGAGTACGGCAATCAGGATCGTCTTCGATGCTAACTACAGTGCTGTAGTCCATGCGCATCCTTCTTGGTGGGCAGATTTTCGTTGTCATGGTGTATGTAGCTCGTCAAGAGTGGTGGCTGAGGCTACCGCCGACAGCATTGATTGATTGATCAACGGATGATTCCTTTTCTTTCTTTTTCACCGTTACCTGGTCCAAGCTCGCTCGGTCTTACCTTGAGGGCATAACCAACGGTACCTACGCGATATGTCTATCGCGCTGTGCTCAGCTGAATGGCATCGAGGAGCCTCAGATGTCATGGACGGTAGCATTGGAGGCGTGTACTCTGTACCTACGTGGAAGACGAAGAGAGTATGCATACCACACTACTTGTGTTTCGCGCGACCAATCAATCTCTTTGACGTCCGTCGGTCGGTCGGTCGGTCGGTCGGTCAGTCAGCGCGTGAGTGAGAGTCCGGTCGTTGGAACGCTTGATTGATTGTTAATTGATGCGGTCACGTTCCAGCAGACGTGTGTGAGTCTATAGTTAGCATTCCCGAGGAACCCGTCCTCCCTAAAAATATCAATATTATCGTGTAAGACTTCGAAATGTGCTCCGTCTTTCGAGTGTCTCCTAAACTCACCTTCTACTATGTAACAACGCATGCCCTGATCAAAGGCGGGGGTAGCGACGGTTTGGTCATTTTGCATGCACGCATGCATGACACACCATACAGAGTACGTGCGAAGTGAGTGTCATCTGACCAGAAGCACGGGAGTACTTGTCGGATGGTTGAAGACAGAGGAGACCGCAAACTCCACCCCACTCAACCAACGGTTGCCTCTTGCGCATAGATAGAGAGAAAGGCATGGATGAGACCGGAAGCGAGGTATTTTTCGGTTTTGTTTATATTACTGCGCGCCCCACAACCCCTAACGCCCGGCAAGCAAGCGAACAAGCTTTTAAGTCCGACTATATTATCCCATCCGCCACACAGCTAGTTCACAAAAAATATCGACAAACCACAAGCAATAGTGGTGCATCGATTCTTGAGCGTACACTTCAGCAACAGACCATCTTCATGTTAACACATACAATACCCTCAGCCTTGCTCGTACACCATCTCGCTTGCACACATGGCGCTCCGCTCTGTTCTCCGTGTTCTCGTACCACCACCAACACCCACTACTATGAAACCGACGCCACGTATGACTACGTACTATACGGGTACCCGAGCAAAGATGAGTCCTCTCTTGTATTCGATATGCTTGTTTCCTGTCCTGTCCTGTCCGTTGTGCAACACCACCACGACCACGACATGACACCCATCTCTACAACAACCGAGATGTTACACCACGTGTAGCACGCTTTTAACACGGGCTTGCGTTTTCACATGCCCCGCGATCCCAGCTTACAAAAATGCCACCTTGATATAGCGGGCATGCTGCTGCTGCTGCTGCCCCTTGTAATGCTACCGAGTATTGTATCTTAACTATGCGTACCACAACTTTAAAAGGAAATGGCAAGCAAAGCTTATGTATGTATGTATTTTCATAAAATCGCCATCATCGTGGGAGGTTCTAATACAGCCATGCAGCCGCAACACCGTGAGGCATCACCTGCTTACAACAACTCCCACGCATTGGCGACAACGCAACGACCATCGACCCCCGCCGCCCGCCCGTAACATTTGGCAATTCACCTACGATGGCACCACTCAGGCTTCCATGAGAAGGGCACCCGCACACCCTTGTAACGATGGGAGGTGCGATTTTCACGCAATAGACAAACACATTTTTATTTGCCGCATCTCTTCAGCAATGACACGACTATACTTCCAACAGATCCAAAAACGGGAGGGCAGAGAGAGAGAGAGAGAGAGAGAGAGAGAGAGAGACTGCTTTCAAGACATGCATACTGGTACGTGCCTATGGGATACAGAACAAAGACGGAAGACGCGAGTCTCGCAAAATGAAGGTGGAATCGACCAACAGCATCCGCTTCCAACACCAAGTTCCTGTTCTTGTACTAGTACTGTACTGCCACTTGCGACCAAGGGTGGCCGCCGAACACACACACACGGAGAGGGGCGTCAGTCAGGGATCGAAAACAAACTCTCCAAGCAACCAAAAAATCCTGCTAGCAACTCAAAAGTCCCTGCATATATGCCGTGGCGCGTTCAACCAGACAAGGAGGAAGAGGAGGAGGAGGACGAGGGCCGTGGCAAGAACCATACCCGACAAAATACATGGCCATTCGGCCTCAACCGGAGGCTTGGCGGGGCCGCGTGCTGGAGAAAGGCCTAACAATACACCCAACAGAACGCATCGTGCTCACACCCTTACGGCACCACCTACTACTGCATACGGCAGGCAACACTAAATACTGCGTATGGCAAAAGACTCGAAAAGACTCGAGTGAATCGATGGAGACGAAACAAGCATCACAACAAGACGTGAATTTATGCATAAAAAACATTTCCACAAAAACAAGGAGACACGGAATTGAAATGCACGACCTCAAGTAATCTCAAGTAATGACACTGGTAAGACTTGATTCATGACAAGATAAAAAAAAGTGCCTGCAACGCAAGAAGCAACATACTACATGCATATATGCATACACTTGAGCCATCCAGCTCCAAGGCTGCCAGACAAAGCGCTCAATCTACGCACTTCGGTTCCCCCAATTCATCTCCCCCCACCCAAGTGCGACTCCCAACGAACGCGGACAACGATACCTCCAAAACCAAGAGCAAATCCCTGACTCGACTCGATCGCGGTCTCAATTCGACTCCAAATCCTTCTCCAAAGAGAGGCGTTGCAGTGCACGCATGTCTTACGGCTTTAATATGGTAGCTTAGATGCTACGAGACTAGCTGGACTGGTGTCGAACAAAGACTAAAGACAAAAGACAAAAACAGGGTCCGCTTTTGTAACCGTTTTTGCCAGCACCGCACCGCGAACGAAAAAAATGTATGTCACGGCTGCTGGCCCGAAATACGAGTACGTCGCGTCAAGCTCGGCCAGCCGGTACGGTACGCCTGGAGTGTCCCGCCAAGTCCGCTCAGACAGACAGAAACCAGCGTCGCCAAGCGCCGCCCGTCTGCATGAAGCGCCTTCCTTCCTTCCGTTATTCTGCATTGAAGACATTCGTCAGCACGACGGCCGAGAAGCCAAGGAAGACCCACAAGAAGAGCTGCACAAAAAAAAAACGACCCCCCCCGGAAGAATAGGAAAGCAGATCAGATGCAAGCACATGTATGAGAAATAGCCTATCGCAGAACAAGTGTTTGTTGTACATGGACGAGGGACATGGTGTGTTGCCATGCAGTAGGAAAGGACATCAACGGGACCAAAAACAAGCGAGAGGTCTGGGAACAGGGCTCCCAGCAACCTTGTCGGTGTCAAGGTCCTAGTAGAGCATGATGACAGCGACACCACCGCGACAATAATTATTGCTGTAGGTGCTGACTTCCCTTCCTCTTGATAGTGTCACAACAGCGCCCTTACTTCGCGTTTAACAACACACGTTATTCGTGCCCTCGCCGCGGTCTCGACACAAGAACGCCATAACATCATCTCCCGACATGAGAGGGCCTGTGAATACTGTAACGCCTGTGCCCACCTTGATGTAGTAGAACGAAGGGATGCTCCACCCCAGGCTGAGAGACACCATAGGCCACAGCGCGTGCATCGCTAGCCCGGCGACAACGACGATACTGAAGAAGTTGGCGTACCAAATCACGAACCCTGACAAACAACAGAGCAACCAAATCCAACAGCGTCCATTTAGTCAACGTCCAACTTCTCGCAGCAGCCTTGCAGCCATGACAAAACATACTTCGAAAGGGTATCGGGTGGGGGTGGCTGTGCTCAAGCGTGCAGAGGGCACATCGCCAACAGAAGGGTTCGACACACGTGTTGGAAACGAAACACGTCTCGACGGCGACGAAGGCGGACGGACGATCCACAAACGAACAAAGACATTCATCTATGTGGCTTTTACCGCAGTATTTCCAATGACATCGTGGTCACGTCTGGCGGCATTCCGTATACCGCAAAAGCACGGCCTCTATTCTACACTCCCACGACACGTCGTTCGTTTTCGGTTTACGCCTCCTCCTGCGGCGTGGCACGGGAGCTTGCCCTGCAGCGGGGCCGCCTGTACTCTCTTTCTGAAGTGGCACAATCAAAAACGATACTTGTAGCCAACATCCACTACGTACAACCACGTGCCAACACGCAAGACTAGAAAAACGGGGCACCCCGCCCTCTCGACAAAAAACGCCCATCCACAGCTCGTCAGCCGCCCAGTAGCGCTTTGACATGGCGTGGCTTGATTGAGTCGACTCACCCTTCTGTACCACCCAGTACACGCCACCGGCGACCGCAAACACCTGCCCCAGGAAGACGAAGGTGAGAGGCCAGGTAGGCACCTTGGCTACCCAGGCGTTCTCGGGGCTCTTGCGGGTCAAGCCCGTCCAAACAACCTGTATGTACATGACAAGACAAGGTGCAGAGTGTCCTGTCAAGGGAAATTGACGCTAGGGAAGAAGAGCGAATCGTGCATTCGTGACAGAAGGCCTAGCAGCGGCACCAGCATTTGGTGGGGTACAGGCCAAGAAGGAAGGTAGACCGCATCACGACGTTAGTTTTCGTGCACCCACGGGCAGAAAAAAAATCACCCATGCAAGCTTGCAGCAGGTGTCCCGGCAATTTTTCGTATTTTAGTAGACTCAACACTGCCAGTAGCCGATGACATGGCGGATCGCATGCTTGCTTAGAGGGCCACAGATTCGTGAGCCATCTATCGGGTATCGGACGAGCCCGTTCGTTCGTTCGTTCGTTCGTTCCTCACCTGAAGGAAGGCGTAGATCTGCACGTAGGTGGTCGAGAGCCAAGTCTGCTCGTCACGCGTCAGGCGGTGAGAGTCGATCTTGCGCCACTGGCTCGAGATGGCCGTGGGAAGCAGGGCCGTCACGATGAAGGGTGTGAAGTACTGGAAGTAATCCTTCAAGCTGAAGGTCGAAATCAAAAGGCACCAAGCCGAGGAGGGGAGGGGGGGGCAAGCAAGCGGAGTTTGATATATACCCCACGAGTGAAACGTGAGACAGCAGGTAAGCTAGTCCACGCGATTTGGGGTCCGCAAAAAGTGCAACCAACCAATCAAATCCGATCAGTGTGACAACAGACTGACTCTCTCCTGTAGACGCAAGACACTAGAACACGCGCGCTGAAAGCGGCAACTTATGCTCACAACAGACAACGAAAACAACGAGAGGCTAAGGTTTTAATGTTGAACGCATTGTCTAGTCTCGTCGAACCTGGTAACGAAGGGGGGGGTGCCCGTCACTCCGTACACGATAGGCATGATCAGCAGCACGTATCCGGGGATAGCCTGGAGGTAGTACGTGGCCTGGTCGAAGGCGTAGAGGCGGTGCCACATGGTGGGGAAGTGCCCGCCGAAGCTCGTGTACCGGATGCCCTTGAAGAGCAGCAGCTGCACGGCGCCTTGGTGCCACCGCAGGACCTGCTTGATACGCCACGTCAGGCTGGACGGCTGGTGGGTGCACCAGGCCAGCACCTCTCCCGGCTCGTTCACGTACACGCTGCGCCACCCCTGTGGGAAAACGATCGCACAACCGTCCGTGGCAAAACGCAACGAAGCAAGGCCGGCCGACCGTCAGTGTGTATGAGCCTCTTGGAGTGTGTGGGGCTATATACAATACACAGCAGTGTGGTTGTTCGTCGTGTCCCATGAGAGTTTGAACGCCAAGTCAAGTGGATCCATTCCATTTCACCCGTACCATGAAAGGGTATACACCAGCCAGCCCGGCAGACGGGAAAACACCGGCCGCTGTGTTTCACCGTCCCGTAAACCATAAGCGCCGGTAAAGAACGTCAAGACCCATTTCACCCGTGCCGTTAAAGGATACCAGCCAGCTCAGCCCGCAGACGGGAAAACGCCGGCCGCTGTGTTTACCGTCCCGTCCACCATGACGCCGACGTCAGGCAGGACACCTCAACACAGCAGCCAGCCGCGACAACAGCCAGCGAGTTTTCGTCCTACCATCTCTTCACAATAATGCAAATACCCCACCTGTCGGAACAGCTCGATGGAGGTGTGCGTGTCCTCGATAAGCATCTCCGAGCGGAACCCTAACTTCTTCCCGACCAGGTCTAGCTCCGTAGGATCGTCCACGATCTTGCCATCAGGACGCTGGCCCTTGAGCGCCTCCACGCGCCACAGGCTGCCCTGTCCACTCGAAGAAACGGCGCCGATCCCGTCCTTCCCGTGGTTGATGACGTCGTACTGAGAGATGGCGTGGTTGCCGAGGGGGTCGTTGCTGAGCTCCATCCGGAAACGCTGCGGGGTCTGCACGAACGCCACCTGAAAGGAACGAGCGAGCGGAGACAGGCAAGGACATCAACCCACTGAAAACCCCGTTACGCCAAAGAATTTAGTCTGCGACTCTCTCGAGTGACATCGGCTGATATGTCAGATATTTACACCGAAAGGCGTGTAGAGCGACGTCAGAAATAATGGGATGACCCACACACACGGCGGACAAGCCTATGCCATCACAAGGAGCAAGTCGGCACGGCAAAGCTAAAAACGTGGCCACCTATAATAAAGCCGCCGTACCTTGGCCCATCGATAGCGTCCGCCCGAGGCCACAGTAGGGTGTCCGCCCGCAAGCTCGAAGAAGTACGGCACTGTCCTTTGGAGGAAGTTGCCCTCCAGCTGGTGCCGCGCATCGTTGACGACCACGATCGTAGATTCTCCGGTGAGAGGGGTCATGGTGGGGTCATCCACGGGGAAGATGGCAGCGTTCCTGTCCACACCAATCATATTGTTGCCCCACACGGAGTTGTTCACAGGGAACACGAACGGCAGTATAGGGCGTCAGTACAGTAGAGTAGAGATACACGGTACCAGTATGCACGAGGTGAGACGAGAGTGAGCACAAGGGTGCTGGTGGCAAGGCCCGAGCACAAGAACGAAACAATCTGTCCACGCCTCTTCAAACATTTGCGAGACAAAACTCGTCGCCCAAGAAGCAGTAGGTGTGCACTGTGCAGATGCCCGGGCCCTACATCCAAGCCGTGGTCACCCTTGTTTTCCATCTGCACAAGAGGAAAATTGCACCACAGGACTAGTCGTAGTCGTGTAAACGCTGCCTTCCGCGCTGTGGAAGTGTGACTCAACACATCTGTAAGTCCCGCAGCAATCTCTCTTTGTCTTACATGTTTCCAGCCTTGGGACTGATCTTGGGGGTACCCGCGTTTTTCCTCGAGTAGTAGATGAGCGTGGGCAGCCCCTTCTGCACCTCTTTGCTTGTCTCCATGTTGTCAGGGTCAAGGTGCGTGCCGTAGACCTCGAAGAACCCTGGGCATCACCGAAAACACCACAGGGTTAGGTTAGGGTACGGCAATCATGGAGGTGAGAAGAGAAGAGATGCGAAAGAGACCAAGACGCAGGTGCAGATGAATTGCGAATTCAGCACAGCAGAACAAGAGCCCAGAAATACCATACCATACCCGGCTAGAGGTACAGTTGCAAACAAGATCGCTACAACGGTGACATCACAAACAGATGGACACGCGTACGGATGACCTATGCATACCACGAATTTCAACGAGACATGAAAAATCGAAGTATCTTGGGTATACCAAAAAATGACGACGCGAACGCCATGACTACATAGGTACGCGACCTGCCGAAACCGCTCACCTGGCGTGATGTTCATCGCCGAGGCCCCCAACATCTTCGCCTCCGCTTCCGACCGCGCCGCGTCGCTCATCTCGGCCATCGCTTCTACGCTCGGCTTGTTAGACTTCTGCGCCTGCGCGGCTGCGTTCCAGGCGGCCGCCGTGATGGGGTTGTACGTTGCGGAGGACGGCCTTGCCTCCAGGGCGAAGGCGTCCGTCAGCCCGTTGGCCAGACACATGGCGTCGAGGAGACGCAGCACCTTTTGTTGTGTTGCGCCGAACGTTGCATGGGAAGGGAAGGGGAAAACAGAGAAGTTGGAGTCAAGCGAGGGGGGGGGTGGTATCGTACACAGGAGTTAAATACTGCGGAAAAGTTCCGACGCGGCAACGACCCGTTACGGAATACGGTACGGGTCGTATGCGGTAAACGCCTCCGCAGGAACATTAAGACTAAAATGCGTTACGAACTGCGCCACATGGGACAGGCCAAAACACCAACACCTATGTATTACAGCTCTGAATGCCGGTGGATCGGTCGCGGCTACTACTGCTTTCGGCCAATTATTGCATCATACTATCGTACAACACACAGCACAATGTTTTCCAAATCACCTGCACGGCTTCGTTGAGCTTCTTGTCGTCGTACAAGTGCTTGCGCTCGTAACCGCTCCCGTTGCGGCACCAGTCGATGAACCCCTTCTGCGTTAGCTCCGTCACGCCCTCAGCCTGCACCAAAGCAAACAACGCATCACCAGACGACAGGGAGCGTGAGTGAAGAGCGCACCACATCAATGGTGCGAATCATCACTACATGCACCACACCCACAGCGGTCGCCAAGTAAACTCTGGTTGCTTCCAACTGGTGGGAAAGACACCCGCAATCGCGCAATACCTCAAGGGCTCTGTGGCATCAACCGCAGCGACTTGCGCGCGACGCACGTACCCGGTGCCACAAAAAAAAAAGAAAAATCCCGTCAAGCCAATCTCTGCTTTTTATATACAACGATGGTCGAGGTGAGTACCAAACAATGGATCCGCGGCAACACCAGACAAAAAAAAAAGAAACATCGCGTGAGCCGATCGGTGGTGGGATGGATGCAAAGCACACGAGGATAGGCTAGGCTAGGCAAGGCAAGGCTAGGCTGGCTCACCATGAGAATCTGCTGGATTCGCCTCCCAGCCAGCAGCTCTCCTATCCTGTGCACGCCGGCGGCCACGCGGTAGACCTCGAGGCGACGCTTCTCGTCGAGGACGATAACGCGAAGAGTCTGGCTCCCGGGCAGGCCAGAGTCCCAGAGACGCTGCGAGAGGGCTCCTACGAGCGCCTTGAACACAACCTCTAGGTTCTCTCCAGCCGTGGGGAGGAGGATGCACACCCTGTACGTCAAGGCATTCGTTGAGAAAACGTGATGGCACGGCACGACACGACACGACACGACAGCGTCAGGATGGCGATGACGCCTGCCGGGAGTCTTCCCCCGTAAATATGAATGCGAGCGGAAGAGCGCTGTTCGCAAGGTGCCACTCCCTGTATACTGCAATTCTTGCTATTGGATATTATACTTGTAGTGCTATTGGATAGGGTGTGTGATGTGTGATGTCATGTGATGTCATGTGTTGTGGCGTGGACGTCTCGCTTACCGTGCGTTGTAGCCGACTTGATCGTCGACGGACGTGATGTCGTCCATGGTGACCTTGATCCGCTGCACCGGGAAGAGACGTTGAGCCAGGCCGACCCACACGGCGATGGCCAGGAAAAACTCTGCCGAGAAGAACAGCCACCACCAGTACAGCTTCCAAGACATGTAATCCCAACGGCCGACCGTGGGCGGGAAGGTGCTCGTGTACCGCCACTGAAATGACAAGACATGACAGAGGAAGCGGATCGGCGATAGCAAGCACGACAGAGACACACAACGCATCAGACGTGAACATGTGTGCATAGCAGCTATGGTAGGTACAGCAGTAGCCGCACCGGCGCCAGCCGTGGAGTACAGAACCACCCACGCCAGTTGATACTGGTAAGTGTGGGTCAACAGATGGCCTCTTGACAGTATCACATCAGTCGACTTGGAGAGAGGTCATGCGAGGCCACTGAGGTGCAAGGTTTACGAGGTGCAGTCCGGTGCCTTCGACAAGCAAAATGCAACACAAGAACGGAAACATGTTGGCACACCACTACAAGCGCTTCACCAATGCGTGCGCAGCCCTACGCACCACGTTTCACGAGACGCTTTGCAACACGGCACATCATCCAACAACGGTGGAATGCAGGTAAGGTTGGGCGAGGCCATGATAGGGTATGCGATTACCTGCGGTGGCAGCCTCATGCACGAGAAGCAACGCTCCTACATACGAGTACATACGCCATTACCGTGTACGTATCATAACTCACGTGCAGGTAAAGAACGCCCAGGCCAGCGTTAGCGACGGCGAGAACCCGGACCAGGTGGGCCGACGGGAAGAGCCTCTTTTCCTAAAGTTTCGTCACGAGGGTGTGTGTGGAACACAAAAACACGGGGTGGCGCGGGAAAAAAAAACAGACGACTCAGCCATCGATAGTAACATAAATTGTGAGCTGCATGTTTTGGTGGGTGCGACTCGTTCAAACCTGAAGAGACCAATCTGCAATTGGTGCTGTCCGATACTGTAACACTCGACGAATGAGACCGACAGAAACAAAGCACACTGGACAGGGTTCCACCAACTCCTTTTAGGCGCGATGGGATTGGCCGCCGCAAGACGGGCAAGGCAACCAACAAACCACTGCCAAACGCCAGCACGCGAGAAGAGAAACAAGGGGGGTACACCATACCGCTATGGTCCCGATACGACGGTGTAGCGAAAAGCAAAAACAACAGGGCAGCGGGACGTCGCACTATTGAGTGTGGGAATACGTAGTTTAGTATAGGTAGCCAAATCAAGTCATAAGTGATAATAACCGCGGTATTTCAGGACCCGCGACCTCCGTGTAACGTAGCGTACCTGCGGGTTGGCGCAGTAGACCCGGTCGAAGAAGAGGTTCGAGTCTTGGTCATCATCCTCCATGCCCGAGGCCCTCTTGAAGGACCCCATCCTCGACCCCGTCATGAAACGCCGGACAGAGAAGCGGCTGCCCACACTGGAAGGGGCACGCTGCCAGGGGCCCGGTTGGGGGGTACCGGGGGTTTGAAGCCCGGAGACCTCTGACTGCCTACTAGGGCTGCTTCTGCTTCGTCGCGTAGGGTTGGGTTGGGTGGTTTGTGGTACGAGGTGTGAGCATGTGTGTTGAGGAACGGGACAGACAGCCAAACATCCAACGAGTTCATGAAAGGAGAAAGGAGCAGCCGATACAGAAGTAGTCAATAGTCAGCACGTTACGGCTTGAACGGAAACTGTCTTTGTAGGGCCTGTTGCCCACAGGGGAGGTACAGCAGCATCACTGGACGTTTCATCTGCGGATAAGGGAAGAAATCGCATTGGCCATTGGGCCTTGGCGTTGTGAAAAGAGGAACGGTCGTATTCGACAGACAGATGTACGCTTCTTGAAGGTCGCTCAAGGTAACCTCCATGCGACTGCTGTAACCCCCTTGCTTGCTACAACCAGGAGGAGGCTGATAGTGGTACAGCAGTACAGTAGCTCGGCCCGAGCGGCGAGTGCGATTCGCGTCGTTGCAATTATGCATACAATTATCCTTCGGTGCGTGTTGTTGACGGGTACACCAGAGACGTACATCACGGTGCACCAGATAGACACTACACAAGTCTGACAAGGTTGTTCTATTGGTCCTCCCATCACATTTTGGAACGCGGATCTTTTCCCGCCAAGATCAGGTATCTCTTCATGCACGCCATTGCGAAATGAGGGAATCTTCGTCGACAGACGGATGGATACAAGGGCGATCTCCACATCTCCGAATCTCTACGTATATATAAACAGGGCACGAAGAACTGTTCCGCATCATCGACCTCTGGTAGGGTAATTGAATTCAAAAACCAAATACATATAAAAATCGAGATTTGACTCGTCGAAGACAACAACGAATCCTCGTTTTCCAGCAGAGAGCCCATATTTGATATCCCGACTTGAAAAGTAAGGCCCAGCGGGCCTTCTTTATGGCCAGGATTTCAAATAGGTTCTCGTCATCTCGGCCAACCGAGCGAGTTTTGCTTTTTCGCGACTTTGATCTTTTAGAACCCCGTTTGTACTGGGCCTAGTCTCCTCTCAACCTGCTCACCAAGCCGTATGTTATGATAGAACAGCGCTACTTGCTACATATGCATACGAGGACAGGAGAGAGAGAGACAAACACACACGATCTACATACTAATAACATACAATATACAAGTACATACCCCTTCTGGTGGTGGCTGGGGAAGTTCAGTCGTCCGAGATGTCTGCCCAGCATGGTGCCTGGAGACGCCGCCACGGATCCCTCTCCGAGCATGCTCTCCTCCCTGCTCTGGAGGTAGCTCCGTGGGGGCTCGTCAGGGTCAAACCTGTTGCAGTGTGCCGCGCATCGCAACGTGCCCATCGTGTCCAATTTGTGTTGCTTGCGTTGTGCTATTCAATCTTCCTGCCATCATCAAATACTGCCGTAACCTGCCGCCAATAGTCAATGGTATAACAATACCCCGGTCGCCGAGTAGCAACATATGAAGGGAAGGCTGATCGGTCGGAGAATCTATCTACAATATCATCATTGGATGAGATCAGAGGGGCGAGAAGTACGCACTACGTAGAATATAGCACAAACAAACTATTGTGCCTTGTACTTAGAATAATGTAACATGTACGTCCGGAATCGTCATCCGTCACACATCCAAAACATACCATGGTGGCGTGAAACAGAAGAGACTCCAATCCAACAAGATAGAACGCAGCCCCGCAAAAAAACCATAAAAACCGAGGTGGCTCTGACAAACAAACAACACCCCAAAGATAACGTGGAGCAGTCCTTCCAACGGATTGTTGCTCACGATACGCAGGGAAAACTGAACAATAGTTATTGACGGAACGACGGCCCACAGAAAAAGCGCTGACTCTGTAACCAACTGCTGTATAACCCTGCCTGAGGAGCGTCCGTCTCCACCGGACATTTGAATACGCAAGCTGTGATCATGTAAAAAACGCTCCGATTTACGATTTCAGTTAAGACACAACATGTTCAACATCCACGCAATCGTCGTACAAATCATTCGACCGCCCAACCAAACCACTACCCAGCTCAAAAGCAAGCAATACGCGCAGACACTGCTATGGTAAATAGATCCATTATTATAGAACAGAGAGAGATTCGCAAGGGCCCCAGAAAGCAGTCGTCTCGTCGCGATCGGCTTGTCAGACAAATAAATCCAACGCAATGATACTAAACAAGAAATGAAAGTATGCCACTGCCGAACCCGTGGGTAGAGCTAGGCCCGTTAATAAAGCAAATACAACGAACGCCCCCGACACAACCCATTCTCTGCTGCTGTAGCTGTAACAGACCATGACTTCTTTTGACGCCTACGAAACATTATTAATAGCCGCTAGCCGACTTTCGGTACATGCTATCGTGCTGCTACACGATAGTATTACCATAACTCCTTTTGACGCCTATGAAACAATATTAACAGCCGAGTTCCGGTACTGCAACGAAGTATTGTAGGTACACGAAATTACGTGTCCTGGGAAGCAAACTTGACGTTCGGGACAACGAAAATGTACAATTTACCAACGCTTTCTGCTTTGTAACATCGCACATCCTGAGAGGTAATGTAATGTCCGAAGCTATGTATTTATTATAGTAGAAATCCAGGGTTCGGCTAAGAACCTTCCCACATCGTCATGTATCCGTCCTCTGCTTCAAGTACAATGTCCGAAATCTATTTATACCGGCGGGACGTCTGTCTACGGTTGGCAGCCAGCTGCCTGGTCGGAATACAACACAGCAATAACCAACATGCTATTTGTACACTTTCTTCCTTCCCAACCAAATTCCTCAGCAACCTACAGGGATCATTTCTAGGCTACGCACCAAGAATGAGGCATTTTCCGGCAAGGCCACCAAAAAGCATCTATGCATACTGATGCATAACATGGATACGACACAAAAACAAGGTATAGGTACATTTGTAGATAGTACAGGAGCAGACATCCCGCCAAGGTGTGTATTCTACCTCTCGGAAGTGCGCATGCATACAAACGTTGTCAATGCATACATACGACGTCTGTACACAGCTGTATACCGGAGAAGTACTTGTATGGAAAAACGTACACGAAAAACAAAGCACTGGCCATTCATAACATTTTTCTACTGCTGTTATGGTATGTGTAAGATGCCCACAGAGCCTGATTGCGCCTCATACCATGTTACACGCTATTGAACAAGTAGGACCACAACCACCAGTCGGTTTCATCATCTTGTTGCCTGGTCGTGGTAATCTCCGATACGTACCCATTTTGACATCTACAACCTGTCATCTTTTGGTCAGCCCGTTGTCTAGATGAAAGCGCGATCGAAAATCATGGCATCCTGACCTCGAAACGGATTTGACGTCGCTGAATCCTGCGCGAACGGAATCGCTCCCGGGACGCCTGCTGCTCTTTCCCCTCTTGAGGATCCCCCTTCCGATAATGCTGTGGTTGCTCGAGTGGGTCGGTGTCGAGTTGGCGATATCGCGGGCTTTCGACTTGGTGACCCGTTCCATCGCCGTGTTGTCGGCTTCGATGACGTCGTAAATGTCGGGCTCCTGCGCCGCCCGCACGCCACGATCCCCGCTGCTTCCAGGCCAAGAGGGAGACAGAGGGAAAGCATTCATTTCATCGAACATCTCTGTGATTATTCTCGATTTTTACATACGTACATGTAAGCACGAGTAGAGAAGTGTAACGATCTGAATAAGGTGAGCCAACAAGTAACGAAGGCACCGACAACACAAGAGAACCGCAGTTTTCTGGGGGGAGGAACAAAGAGAGCACCGCAACGGATACGACCCGCCAGACATGACGCGGGATTATCCCACATAGCAGTCGCTGGCCTTGCTGTCTCTCCTCACGGGCAGTTAGTTCCAACTCACCCATTGCATATAGAGAGTCCAACACGGAATACTTGTAAAAGGCGAACAGAGAACAGCGGCAGACCTGCACACACAACCTCAGCAACCCAGAGCACGCCACAAGAAATACGGAGCAAAAAAACACCGGCCCTCGATGTCAACGAACGTTTCTCACCTGACAGATCCATCGCGTGGGACAGACACGTTTGAGATGCCCCCCGCGGTGCTAAACATAGCCAAGGACGCGGGCGCGCCGCCGCCGTTCTCGCTGGGAGCGGCGCTGCTCCTCACTTGCATCCCGTCGTCCAGCATCGTCTGCGCACGCTGCGGTACGTCGATCATCTGACCAACAAGGCACCAGCGGGAGCGAGCGGCAGTGGCCAGCCAAGCCGAACATAGAGACAGAAAGAAGAGAGAGAGAGCGGAGGAAGAAAGCAGGAATATTATTTGCTGCTTCGCTTACGCACAATTTTCAAAAAAAACTCTTTGGATGACATCGATGAGAGAACGGACGAACGCCCGTTGGGAGCCCCACAAAAGGGGAGGAGGGCAGTGTTCGTAGCTCTCTCTCTCGCTCTCTCTGTGCGATTCCCTCCTTCATACAGACCAGCAGGTACAGGTACCGTCAAAATAACGAGCCAAACCTCACACCAGCCAGACCATACGTACGGCAGGTAGGCAGACAGACGACAGAAAAAATATGTCGCAACTTTCAATCACCCGAGCTGCGGGAAATGCGTGCACGAACGACCCACCTGCACGGGCGCCGCTGGGAGTGGGGAACCCGGAACCCATGCCCCTTCCTCCGTGAGGCTCGGGTCATCAGCCGGCTTGAGGTTCATCTCTCTGCACCGCTCTTAGTCAGCCGCGCCGTCTAGAGCCGGGCCCTCCCTCTCTCTCTGCTGTGTGTTTTTGAGGGATGTTGTTCGACCGGCTTTTCCGAATTTCCGAATAGAGGCGTTGTAGAAACCAGAGGCGTGCTTTTGACGGGGAATAATTGTACGTGTTCTTTTTAAATTGTTGTTGTGTGCGCGCCCATGTGGGCTAGCCGCGAAACATGATCTCAAGGCAAGGGGGGCGAGGCACTGGCTAGATAGAGACAGGATCGATTGGAGACGTGAACGCAGCGCCAGGAACGAGCGAGGTGGCTGGTGCTCGTAAAGACTGCTGCATGCCGCGAAGACTCTAGCCTGTGGGTGCTACGTTTTTGTCGGTATAAGAGCCCACACGGGCAGGATACGATCTGCGTCCCGCTGACGACAACATTCGAAAATCGCTCCCTGTTTTTTTTTCAAGAAAATTCACGTCCCATCGCAAACCTGATCGATCCGTCATTTTTCCAACCCCCGCACGCGGTGGTGGCGCCAGACACTTGGGGCGCTGACAAAAGGGAAGCAATGCCGAGCAGCCGGAGGGCCAACGGCCATGGGCAGGACAGCATGGGGAAGGTGGGTGTGCTTTCGAACGGGCCTCTTGGGAGACGGTAGGGTTGGGTCGGGGGCCGATGTTCTTTGTCCCTTTTGCTCCTCACTCCCGTGTTTCCTCTCACGTGTGTGTGTGCTTATTTATGTGGGCTTTCGGAACGCTAGACACCTTGTCATGCGTGTGACCGAACTTCTATCCCCCGTCTAAGCCCGCGCCTGCTGCTCGTCGTCGGACAAACTGCCGCTCGGCTCTGTGTCAACAAGGTGGAGGAGGGCCGCAGCAATGGGCACCGGCGGGTCAAGTCCGGGGGTGGCTTCACGCAAAGGCTTGGCAAGATGCAGGTATGTTTGTCTGCGGCGTTTATTTTCCGAGTTCGGTTTGTTGGTACAACAATGGCAGACAGAGAGCCGACCCGATTCTCTTCCATCTTGCCCGTGCTTGCTTGCGATTCTGACCCGCCGAATCCCTTGGGGTTGCGTCGCTTGCTACTGCTGCTGCTGCCGTCGCTGTTGTATCCCTTTGGGTTGTCCATCTTTTTTTGCTCACTGGACACGGCGATCGATCGATCTAGCATATGTACCACGGCGAAATTGTTTCCCGGCCCCGCTGGTGTTGTCCCTCCCTCTCTAAAAGCCCTATGAAAGTCGGCAGCAGCAGGCGCGTCTCTTTTTCTTCCTCTTCCCGTCTTGCATGCCGTCGTCTCACGCCACACCACACTGAGAAAACGAAAAAGAAGACGACAAAACAAACGGATTTGGGATAGGTACAACTCCTCATCCACCCAAGCCTCCCCGTGCCTGCTTCGGTCGGATATGTGTGCCTTCAGGAGGCGCTGGGCATGGCCCACTCCACGCCCGCATCAGGTACAGACAAGAGGCGGAGCGGGAAGCATGGCGCATACGATCCCCGCTTCGTGCAGAGGGGAGAAAAAATCAATCCACAAACCAAGGAGAGCTTCTCGTCAAGCTTCCTCATCCGGGGGGTTGTGGTTCTGAACGTCGCATCAGGATTTACTTGTGAGTGTCTACCCCTTGACGGGAGAATGTCCAGAGTGGGTGATCGGCTGAGGTGTTGTGCTTTTGGCCGGTTTGCTGAGCCGTGCGTGCGCTTGTCTCTCGTCTCCGCCGTCAGAGACGCCACACATGTCGGAGCAACCTCGTGCCCCCTGTTCTCCAACCCAGATTTCGTTTTTTTGCAAGTATCTAAAAATCAAATCAAATCAAATCACTCGACAGAAAAAACCGCACCAAGACGAACCGGAGAAAGAAGAGAGGCATGAGGCATGGCGGGCGTGTTTGCCGACACGATGATGC